AGATGGAGGCAAATAAATTGTTAAAGAGGTTAGCTTTGTCATCTGGTGTGACCACTAGATTTCCTAGCGTGTCTTGCAGAGGCCCTACCTTCTTTTTACCCCCTATGTATTTAAAAAAGGACTTCTTGTTATCCTTGATCTGGTTCGCTAGTCCCAGTTCCATCTCCATCTTAGCCTTCCTAACAGCCTCCCTACAGTCTTGAGCAATGCAGGTATAATCCTCCTTGGTGATGGCCCCTCCCTTCCATTGGGTGTACACCTCCTTTTTGGCCCCTGAAGGGCCATGGGAGTGGGAAGGGAGTGGGCCTGGGACTGGGCAGGGATCAGGAGGGAGCAGAGCAGAGCCGGGCCCAGGATCAGGATCAGGATCAGGGATGGGACTCACTGTGCCAGTGCGGCCACCCCTTCCCCCACGCCCAGGGTCATTGCCTGGTGCAATGAATCCACCACGCCCAGCCCTGCACCCGCCCTGGTTGCCTCTCTGCACTGGCCCCAGCTCCACACCACCCAGGGGGCCTGGAGCCGGGGGCCAGAGCAGGGCCAGCCTTGGCTGCGCTGCCAGGCCAGAGGGGATGGATCCCCTGGGACCCTTGTGCCCCAAGTCATCATTACTCTCTGGGGGTGTGGGGAGGTGGTTGCAGCTCCCACTGCTGCATGTGTCCCAGGAGTGCATGGATGGCGCGTGCCCCCGGATCTGTGTGGGGCAGGGCAGGGTGCCGCTGCAGGCTGGGGCAGAGGCTGTGCTGGGCTCTTCCCAGCCCGGCCCCCCCGCCAGGAACAGGCCGGTGCAGCCCCAGCCCCAGCCCACAGCAGCAGCCTGCCCTGACCCACGCAGATCTGGGGGCACATGCCCCCCCATGCCTCCTGGGGTGTGGGTAACAGCAGGAGCTGCACCCACACTGAGGAGCCACTCACAGCTCAGTCCCACGCTCTGTCAGCTGTGCAGCACCTGCCCAAGCCCCAGCTCCAGTCCAACTCCCTCCCCACCCCTGCTGTACCAGAAGCCCTCAGCCGAGCTGGCTTGTGGCCCTACCGCTACCCTGCTTTTGAGGGTGTTAAGCACTGCTGCTCCCCACCCCTTCTGCCGCCTATGGCCGTGGTCCATCAGATCCCTAAATTATCAGAGTTTGCACAAGGCTGAGAAAATTGCATGCAAGAAGGAAAGGATCAAGCCTATTCCCCTCTTGGGATTGCTTCTAGTTTATCCTGTGAGTCATCTCTAGAGTTCTTTCTTTTTTTTTAGCCATTGATCATGCATTTCAGCTGTATTGCTGGGGAGTGAAATCACACAGTATTCTGTTTCCTGAGTGGGTGAAAACTTCCTATGTGACATCCTGGGCAAGGAAAAGTTACACTCCATATCCACCAATACACACACACACACACACACACACACTGCTCTGGTAGCCCCTGGCTTTGAACCTTCATAGCTCAATATCCACACTTGAGCCTGAAGATCTGAATGCTTGGAGCTCGATAGCCTAAATTTTTGCAGAAAGCAAATGTAATGAGCACCTAAGTGTGCACCTGACAATGAACATGACACCTCCAGAATGAGGCCTTCTAGTTTAAGTCAGGGGCTGGAAACCTACCTAGCCCATGGAGCCATTGGGTCCAGGAGGGCTTTGCCCACTCTGAACTACAGCCAGGCAGTGGGGGCTTTGGTGGCAGGGGGCTTTGCCCCTGCTGCACTGCACCACACCATGCTTGGGCAATGGAAAGCTTCATCCTTAATGGGGTCAGGCAGCAGGGAAAAGCAGCAGCATCTGGGTCCTGGTAGCAGCAGTGGCCGGGTCCTACCATCAGCCTGCTTCAGACCCAAATCAGGTCATTCTAGCCCACTGCCACCAAAAGGTTGCTATTGAAAAGAAAAAGCTCCACTGGTCGGAGTTACAGCTGATTCACATCCTCTGTAGAAAAGGCAGGGCTATCACACACTGCATTCCAGAGATACCACGGTGGCAGTGACACGGGTGAAGGTGAACGTATTGAGAAATTCAGCCCTGTGTGGAAAAACATTTGGCTTTATTTGCTGGGCTGTGTTTCACAGTGGAAGTCACCTGGAAACTCCCAGTGAAACAAGGATATTTCCCAAACACAGCCAGGGGCCGAGCCTGTTTTACAGAGCTCACAATGCTGACAACAGCCTGCAGGTAGGCTAGCTGCCTCTTGACATTGCCCAGCCTTTGAGTAAATAGAGAGCTGAGGCAGACAGCAAGCAAACAAGGGCTCAGGGAGCAATGCGGGCAGAAATTGTTTCAGCCAAAGGAATGAAAAGTGCCAAGTTAGCAACACCCAGGAAAACATATTCGTTTCAACACAACTTTCACTGAGAAAGGTCTCCTGGATCAAAACTGGGAAAACACTGGAAAGGACCTCACGTGGATCATATGCCTTCTCTGCCTGATTCAGACTAGAGAACTGAACCTGAATTTTTCTTAGCCCATGAGTCTTCTAACTCACAGGCCCTTGGCTGCCCTGAGACATGTATTTCCTGTCACATTGTCCCACTTGGTATAAAATATCCCCTGAACCAGCACGCAAGAACCGGACTCTTGGTGGTTCAGGCATTCGCTTGGACTATGAGTCTTGCATTCAAGCCCCCGCTCTGGCCCCCGAGAAGGGACTTGACACCTTGGGTCTGGGCGTCCCATATGCTAGACAAGCAACTTCCTAATTCCAAAGGTGGGTCTGCCTCTGTCCTTGCTGAAAATGTGTCCTGGCTTGTGCTTATCCTGACATGGAATAGGAATATTTGAAATCTTAAAGCTTTCAACAGGATGAGAAGTCTATTTCGCCCACAGCTTGATCAGAAAATGTTGCCTGTGGCTATTTAGGGTCTTCTGTAGTAGAGGCAACCGTGATATACAGATGTGCGAGACACAGTTGTCCGCACCTCCCTCTGCTACAGGAAGACATGACATAAGTTCAGAGATGTGACTTTCAATTCTGGTGTGGAGGGGAAGGGAGAGGGGCAGAGGGGGAGCACTCACTTCCTCGTGAAGGCTATGTGGATTGCCACTAGCTCAGCACCAGCTTCCCCAACACGGGCTGCAGCAGCGACACAGGCTCCCTGCAGGCTGCCACTCTGATACCCCTCTGAATCAGCATCTGGGGCTTGTGCCCTAGTCATCTCCCCCTCAGGTTAGGCTACTAAATAAGTTTTGTCAAGAGCAGTGGTGCTCAATGTTTGGGCCCCACAGGCTAGATGAATGGCACAGAGCCAGTCCCCAGGCTGGATTGGACCCTGCACACCAGGATTGGGCCTGCATGCCTGGATTGGGCCTCAGCTGGCCCCTCAAATACCAGGATGAGGCCTCGGAGACCTTATGCCACCTCCTCTGGTCCTGAGTACTGGGGCCAGGGTTCAGGGCCCCAAGCCACTTCCACCCAGCCTTGCACTTGAAGATCAGGCTTGAAGCCCCCTGCCGCCCCTGCCTGATGTTACACACTGGGATTGGGCCCCACGTGCCCTGTGTGTCCAATCTAGCTTGCAGGGCCACAGCCCGCAGGGCTCCCTACAGACCTCTGGGTAGCCGGATAAGCCAGATGACATGATGCTGGGGGCCGGATCTGGCCCACAGGCTGGGGATTGACCAAGCCTGGTCAAGAAGAAGTGGGAAGGATGAGTAACCCAGGAGATTCAACCTCTCTAAAAGTCCTAAATTTGCAGAGGAGAAACCTTAAGTGATTGATGCAAACTATCCTAAAGACCTGCAGGCCGCCCTCATCTCATTGCAGTGACAGCTCCCCCTGCCTGACCCCTCTCTAGCTCCTCCACAGTTCAGCACATCCCTGCCTAGCACCATGATCACAACTAGAAAGCTCAAGTAGAAACCATGTAGTTCAAACCTATGAAGCAGCACAAACAGCAGCACCGCCCCTGAGCCAGCCATCCCGCCTGCTTGTTACAGCACTTACCTGACTGTACCTGAACTGGGAAGAGGCCGTGTTCAGACCAGCAGGGAGCAGCATAAGGTTGCATGCAGTGCTGGTATGTACTTCAGCTATGCTTGGCCAGGTTGTTTTAAGTTGAAATTAACTGCTCTCATCCTCCTAGAAGGGCACGGGGCAGCCTGGGGCCACCTTAACTCTGTGGTAGCAAAATTTGTGGGCAGTTAAGGTAGGAGAAATTAATTTCTGAGACCTTTGGAGATTCCTGAACACTACTGGCTTGTCCTTCCATGAACACAGGAAATGTCATATACCAGGCAGCCCAGCAGCAATTATGTTATAAGAAATGATCTTTCAATGAAAAAACCTAGCTGATCTAATACAGGGGTGTCAAACATATAGCCCACAAGCTGGATCCAACCTGAGGACGCAAGTGAGTTTGATACCCTTAATCTAATGCATTTTGCCATCTCCATGGGCAACCTGTGTCATGCATGCCCTAAGTGACACAGGCAGCCTCTGAGAGTGACATGTGGCAGACTGGGAAGGGGCAAGACAGCATGGCATCAGATAGGGCAGGGAGCAGAAAGCAGAGCAGTAGATTGGGCAAGGGAAGGGGACTGGAGGTGCAGTCAAGGAGGGCACTGGGCTTAATTTGTGGCATGCCTAGCCCCATCAGCCAAGGATTTCTGTTTAAAGCTGCTATTTGACCACTGCCACCAGGAATGATAACAGTGTATACAACTTAAATATTTACACTGTACATACAATACATTCTGTAAGCACAACTGTCCATTTTCAGTTTCATTTAAACATCTATTATGATGAAAACGAAGAAGAAGAAAGAAGTTCAATGGGCTATAATAAGTCCCGGGGAGCTGCTGGCATTGGAAAAGCAGCTTTAGAAAAGTGTCTGGCTGGGCTCCAGGATGGACAGCAGAAGGACCTTCATTATGGTAGTGATTTGTAGGGAAGCTGGTTCTCTAAACAGCTTTCTTAAAGAGCTGGAGAAAAATGAAACTTTTACTTTTGAGAAGATCATGTGATTTCCAGGAAAGGAAGTCCTATATATGGGCAGGAGCAGTAGAAACCACTTGCATCACCACAGCCGGACTAGAAATAGGTCTTGATAAAGTTTCATGTTTTTGTTTTATTAAACCCACCCATTCTGGAAACGTTGCGCCGGCTGATTGGCTGTGCCCTGAGCTGGACTGTGCCAGCCAACGACTATAAAAGGAAGCGTCTGTACTAAGCACTCTTCGATATTATTACAACAACTCACAGACAGCCCCTGGTAACATCCTTTGGAAACAGCAAAGGTAACCAATCTGGCAGGGTGCTGTTTTGTTGTTTCCTGCTAGTGCTGATCACTGATCAGAGCTGGGGAGGAGAGGAAAAAATTAATCACAGCTGCATGGGGTTGTCTTTTTCTCCATGCTTTGCAAATAACGAAATGCTTTTTGTTTAGCTTGTTCTTGTCATCTTGCAGCGAGGTATTTGAGCGAATGCCAAAAGAGCAAAGGTTGGCTGGATGTCTCAGAGTGGCATGTTGGCTCTGCGTGTGTGTGTGTGTGTGTGTTTGTGTGCTTGTACATGCTGAAATTCATATGTTTTGCCATTGATTTCAGCAGCACACTGCTTAAAGCCATTCTTTTGTAGGCAGATGATGACTTGCTTGGGAAGATTTCCCTCCTATCCTTCATAATTCCTGGCTTAGTTTACAGAAGTTTAACAGGCACCTGCTCCCCCTGCCTGGTTTCTGTGACTGGCAGAGGTCGTTGCCACAGATAGTTCACCTGAGTCTGCAAAGGCTTTGAGTTCCATAGGGGAAAACATAAGTTGCATGCACAGATGTGCTAAATATACAGTGACAGGTGACTTAGGTCAGCCTGCAGTTTGAGAGCTTGATGTGGCTTTCTCTCTGTGGATTTCATCAGACTCAGCTAACTTGCAGGGGTTTTGCAATGCAGTGAAGGGAAGCATGGAGGAAGTCACCATATAGATGTTTCAGGCTACTCATGTGCAGTCTGGGTGGTGCCAGGCAGCAGGCTACTGTTGCATCACGGTTATATTGGTTACTCAGCATTTGTGTTTATGTGCATCTGTTGTGGGAGCACTTTCAAAGAGCCCTTAACTGAAGCTTTGCTGACGTGGGTTACAAACTGTATCCCCAGTAACTAGATGGGGAAAGGAGGTAGAGGGCATGGGTGTATGTCTCTGTGGCTTGATCATGATCCTGGTGGAAGATAGTGGTAGAATCATTGCTAGAATTTGAGATCTCCTAACCTCAGGTTTTAACACCTTCATGGCATCTGTGTGCAGTGCCAGGCCTGCATGTGTCACCAAGATGCAGCATGCTGCTACCTGGTGGATTTAGCGACAAATTAGCCCCTCCTGGGAATATCCCACAGCATAATTCTACTGAAAGCTGGTGCTAGCTCAACTCAACTGGAGGAGGAAATGGGACCAGGCAGGATTGGTTTTAGGATAATAATCGAATAAATCGGAGAGGACAGGGTTACATGAGTGGCAGATTTTTTTTCTTAGACTCAAGGCAGTCCAGGGATTAGTAAATGCATCTCCTCCTCTGCGTGTTTGAAGTACAGCAAAAGCTGTGTTAACCGGCACTTTATTAGCCAGAAAAGTCCATTAACCAGCATCCGAGGGACGTGGCAAAAGCGAAACTGGAAGTGCCACTTCCGGGGGACTTCCCATTTTGCAGCCGTGAGCCGAGTTTTTCTTTGCCACTTCTTTGGCCTACAGCAAAACAGCCTGTGCGGGGCCCCCCTCTCTGTCCCCTGGCATGCTGACGCCAGGGACTGCACCAGACGGCGCACATTTAACTGGCATCCCCCATCCCCGGGAGATGCCAGATAACAGAGCTTTTACTGTGGATTAGTTGATAATTTTTCTTCTTTCTTAAAGCCCAGGAGGACCATTCTGAAGGACACCTGAGCAGCAAGGCTTATAGGTTTTGTTTCCTGGTTAGACTGAAGCTCTTGGGAACAGAAACCACCTTGTTTGTGGCATAAAGCATCTGCCACATTGTTTGCAACTATTGTGCAAACCATAAGTGTCTCTTGCTCTGCCCACCCCCTGTCCACAGACACCAGCAAAGTCCATGCAAGAAAACAGAGCAAAAACTCCCTTCCCCGCAGGAGGATGCCTCACACTGGCCTCAAGGAAGGTGTGCAGGCTAAAAGCTGCAAGGGAACCCAGGTGCACAGGGTGTTCTGCTCACGTGGTTTTTTTTTTTTTCTCTTTTGCACCCAGAGGGCATTGCAACATGCCAGTGACTCTGTATTGCTCTCTCTGTGCGTCTCTGCAGGTTCCATTGGATTGGCACAAACTCCATTCGGTAGGCAGGGAGCAAACTGCCCAGCCCTTGAGTCTGCAACTCGTCTGAGCCTGGCTGCACCATGGCTACTTCAGAGAATGAAGGGTGAGTGGCCAGGTTAGGAGGGAAGATGCATTGTGCTCTGCAACAGGAGTGATGTACCAAACCAAAGGTGACAGCAATAAGAAACGCTGATCAACCCTTCCTGGCCCAGTGGAGACTAAATTTACTGCACCTGATGGCAGTGTCTCAACATAGACCGTGCAGCTCCATGCCTTAGCTCACAATCTCCTTGCCACTAAATGAGCAGCCATGTAGCAGAGTTGGCATGGTGGAAACATTGAGTTAATTAGCACTGCTAAGTGATGGTGTTGATTAGCCTGCCTCCCTGACCAGACGCAGACATGGGTATGCTGCTCCTAGTTAGGAGTTGGGGGGAGGCGGAGATGTAATGCTGAACTCTGCAATGTGTTTGAAGGCACCATGACTGGACACAGTAAATTTGCTGTCTAGACATAGTCCCTGTTGCACTCTCCAGTCCTTATCATGGGTGGCAGACCTGGGTAGGTATCTGATAGGCAGTTTCCAGATAACTGGCCCTGATACCTCTGGGTGCCTGTAAACAAGTTCAGAAGCTGCTCCGACATGTTGTAATTACAGCGCATTGGAGTAGACTTGATTAATAGAATTTGCTGGAGCATGGTAATTACTGTGCTCCAGCAAGCCTCTGCGTCTCGTGTATCAGCATCCCCGTGCTTCAAAATGGTGGTGGGGCACTCCTTCTATAGCTCATTCGATGCTCCACCACTATTTTGAAGTGCATGGACACTGTTACACAAGATGCTCTGGGCACTTTATTTAGTGGCTCTTGGAGCCGCTCTTATTAAAGCACCTCCCCCCTCCCCACCCTAAGAGCATGTGTAAAAATATCCTCCAAGTCTTGCCATCGTGTATGACGCTGTCTTAGAGATGCCGCACATAAGGTTGGGACCTCACTGTGCTAGATACCATATGAACTATGGTAGGAAGGAGACTAAGTAGAGTAGATGGTCATCAAAATTGGGGTGGAGGGAGGAAAGGAGGTGTCACCCTTCCCCTTTTGAAGGGCTGTGGTGGGAAAGTGTGCAGGATGATGTCTCACTATGGCATCAGAGGCACAAGCTCAAGCCTTTCTCTGAAGGCTACTCCAGATGACTGCCTGTCAATGGGGACCTAGTCCTTTGGGCTGAGGAGTCTGGGCAGCTGGATATGATACTACTCGTATCCCTCTCCTGTGTTTCATTGGCTACAGAAACTGGTGTGCCACAGTGCAGTGGGCTTGCTAGCCTCATGCCTTTGCCAATTCCCTTTTTACAGATGGGGAGCAAAAGCCCAGGAAGATGTGAGGGCTTATCCATGGTCACAAGAGGCTGTCAATAGCACTGAAGGGGAACTCTGGCAACTGACCAGGCTGCATTCAATTTCTGTACTAATCCTGTACTATTATTGACTAATAATCCATGCATTGCATGTCCATAAATGCATTTGTCCAGAACAACTGCACACAGGTGCATCTTCGTGCATCTATACTTTGAGAGTTGCGTAGCAGCTTGTATTAGTGCACTAGCAACCAAAGCCAGCAGTGGATCAGCTCTGTCCTGATGCTGTGACAAGGAAAAGGAAGTAGCTTTTCACTGGCTTGTATAGGCCTCTGGTCACAAGCTAAACACCTGTATTTATTGCGGCAGAACTCTTCCCTGCATAGGAGTAGGCCATCCAGGGGTGATGTTGTTCCTTGTGGCTCTGGTCTTTCAGTGTGTGCTGTGCTTTTGCCATGGTCCTGTGTTAACCCCCGCCTCTATCGTTTTAGGGATTCTCAGAAATTGCGTTTTGGCCCCTGGCTGATTAAAGAGATCAACAGCAACAAATATGAAGGGATCCGCTGGACAAATGAAGCCCACACTGAGTTTCGTATCCCTTGGAAACACAATTCCAGGAGGGATATTACCAACAATGATAATGAAATTTTCAGGGTAGGATGCCAAATGACTCTCTCCTTTCCTTTGCAAAACCCCAACTCCTGCAGAAGCCAGTCCAAACCAGTGGTGTGACTCCAGATTTACTCCTGGGTAAATGAGTTTTCAAACTGATTGGGAGGAAGATTGTTTACAGCTATGGTGTAAACCAGATGAGGTCTTAAAATGTGCTAATGGTGGATTGGGAGGGATCTGTGCAGAGGCTTTCAGACCTTGCTACCAGAGAGAACAGTCAAGCTCTAATTTCTCTTTTTCTCTAATTCCTTCTTACCTATCTTCTCTTCACCCCATAAAAGGATTGGACAAATTCTTGGAAGAAAGGTGCATCAGCAGCTATTGAACATGCAAGTTAAGGGCACAGCCTCTGAATCAAAACTTCCTAAACCTTAAATGCTAGAGGCTGCAAGTGGGAGAGGAACAGGGGACAAACCCTTGGCCATACTTGGCACGCTCTCCCTTCCAGCATCCACTCTGTCACTGTATGACACCAGATACTGGCCAAACTGGACTTATAGTCTGACCTAGTAACTGGAAATTCTTATTTTTACCCTCATCTTTATGAATAGGCCTGGGCCATCGCCAGTGGAAAGTACCATCCAAATATCCAAGATCGAGCCAGGTGGAAAACCAACTTCCGCTGTGCCCTGTGTTCCACTAACATGTTCGTGATGGTGGAAGATAACTCCAAGAACTCCGACGACCCCCACAAAGTGTACAGAATCAAGCAGCCCCTCGCTGTGGCAACAAACAATGCTCCCGCTACTGCAAGTAAGGATGGGGGTTACATGTTGAGGGTTGAGATGGGTAGATATGGCTCCAAGCTGTGGAAGGAGTTGCTGTTGTTCTCATCCTGGCCCAGGCCCTGTGCCACACTGACTATACCACGACTTCATATGGGAGATGGGCTGTTTGCTAGAACCCTTTCAGGCTGCTAACATTACTTTGCCCTCTTCAGGTCACCTTAGCACTAACTGAAGGAAAACAAAAGAGACAGAAAAGATATCATTCAACTGTAGAGGTCGACTAATATCCCTCAGAAAAACAAGTACGACTCATTTTTCAGGGCTTCTGTAGCCAACAGGAAAACCTCTCTTGTTCCTTTGCACCAGTGGTTCTATCATGGAGCCAGATAGTTAGAAATAACTCACACCCACTGGCCCCTGCTACTTTCTGTCAATGAAAGCAACTGAACCTTCTTGAAAAATATGGGCCTGTGGTCTGAATGATGGGGGTGGCTCAGCTGGAGTGAGATTGTTGCTTACTACTGTTCCATGGCAGGTAGGATGACTGGCCCATGGATCATTCCTCAAGAGAAATATTTCTTCCCTTCTCCAAACCAAAGGTCTGCATTGAGGAAAGACGGAGAGCCAAGCTCTTGGAGAACAGTTGCACAAGTAGAAGTCAGTAGGGCTGTGTAGGTGATGGGAGCTGAGATGTATTTGAGGGAAGCACTCAGGAAGTCCCCCACCAGCTGTGTAACAGCTTAGGAAGATCCAAGTAAGCCAGTGGCATCAAGGGCAAGATTTTCAGAAACATTCCCATTAACTTTTACCTGTCACCAAAGAGATTCTTGCGTCCTCACTTTGACTAATGTACAGTAGCATAACTTGGGGAAGGGGTGACTTGGGCAGCAACCCTAGATCCTGCCTTTGTCGAGGGGCTCAAGAACAGCCATTACTGCAGCAGCAGCTGATTGCATCCCTGCAATTGGCATGGGAGAAGCCAGCACTGCCCTGGGCACCATGCAGCCTGGGCACCAAGCTTCACTACCATGCCTCTGCTAGTATGTGCTGGGAGCCCAACCCAAGGCACCTGAGAGGGGTGGGAAGTTTTAGAAAGTGCTGATGGCCTACCTCCTGAGAAGTAGGCCTCCTTCTGATACCTTCTGCATGGTTCCCACAAACAGGAGCACTCTGAATCACCAGCCCCTATTGAGAAATTAGGCCCTAGGTGTCCCCAACTGGAAACACCTGAAAACGGAGGGAATCCAAAATTTAGCAGAGCATCTTTTGCAGATGTGGATCTTAAATTCTGAGCAAACACTCCCTCCTCATTGGAACTGTATATCATGACAAAGTCCCCCTGTTGGAAATTCAGGCATGTGAATTATGGGATCTATCTGGTCAGTATGGTTCTCTGTGTAATTTTATGGTTTGCCTTTTAGACCATATACTGCAGGAGGATGAAGACGACAAAGACAAGCTTGACATGAGACCTCCTACTGTGAAAGTCCCCGTTCTGTCACAACCTACATCTCGGATAGAGGTACTAGAACTGGGGCAGAGAGGAGAGGGGGAAAAAACTAAACATGAAGGATCACTGCTGGAATTGTTCAGAACCTGGGAAGATGTCTCAAGTCAAAGAGGTTCATGGGGAACTGTCATCAGTGGGGTTTTCTTTCAGTGCTGACCCAAGCAACGTCACTGTTAGTCCCCTGCATATAAGCATCCTGATGCCATTGAGAGTTGCTCTTACCATGCTTCTTGCCCTGGCAACATGACTGGGCAATTGATCTCTGTAACACCCAGCTAAGCTGAGATGTAACTAGCAGTTCTGGAGCCCTGGGAAGAGATGATGTTGAGTGTCCCCAGCCCAAGCATCTGTCAGCTGCCACCACAATGGCAGCCAAGGAATAGAGGCCAAAGAACCTGCTGCTCTCTAAATGGGCACCTGGGTCTGGTCACCCATTCATTTCACCCTAGTTCATACTTAGGTGCTATGTAGAAGGTGTTTCAGTTCATGAGTTTCCCCCTGTGCAAGAAGGGTCTTCCATAGTGGAGGTGAAGCAATTTTTGCCTGACTACCCACCATTTCCATGCATGCAGTAGGCTGCAAAGAGGCATGAAAGTAGGCCCTGTCTGGACACCTGCTCACTCCTCTCTAGTCCAGCTGGGCGATTTCTGTTCTTAAGGCCTAGCTTACAAAAAAAACCAAACCCAAACCTTGCTCCAGAATAACTACGGTGATTTTTTTTTTTTTTTTTTTTTTAATCCATATACGAACATATAAATTTTTTATACTATATTGTATATGTGTAGAGGTGTGTGTGTGTATGTATCTATAATTAATACATTTGTCTGCACATGGGTTAATAACGTATATTTATAAATATTTTATAAAATTCACACACATTATAAACAAACCTTGTTTGGGAGCTTAGTAGAAACAGTAGAGAAGTCTCCCAGAAATGTGAAGTAATTGTATCTACACAGGTTTGAACTTCTTTAACGGGTCAGATTAAGTTGGGCTTGGTCTATATTACAATCCTCTGCAACAGCTCTGTGGCAGCTGGGAAGGCTGAAACAGTCATATCCCATAGCAGAAATAATTGTACCAGCTAAACCCTTGGCAAAGATGCAACTCTGCTGGCCACAGAAAAGCCTCCTTGTGCAGGGAGCCCAAGTGCCATCACAGAAAGCAGTAGCTGCCCTGCTATATCAGATGGCCTGGAAGCTAGCATGGACATCCTCACAAAGACGAGCCCTTCTATCTTGGTAAGATTCTCAGCTAGTAAATCAAACCAGCTCCTTTCGTGTGAGTGGAATCACATCAGGTCACACTAACTGGGGATCTCACCCATTGTATACCCTGGGGATTTGCTCCAGTTCCCGCAAATCAGTCGCCACTAGCAATCTTAGCTCTTTGGGTGCAAATGCTTGGTTGTGCTATTGGAATCAAAACACGCTGAAGAGGTGATATCTTTTATTAGACCAACTAGATATTTGCAAACAAATTATTGCATTTATCTGCAAGCTTTTGGGCACGCACACCCTTCATCAGGCATAGGAGAGAACAGAGATTGTAAAAGTTCTCCTGGGTAGAAATGAAAATTCGTATTTCACAGGAGGGCTGAAGGTGTGGTAAAATCCCCTGTTTGGAAAAGTTTATTTGTCCAGGTTGGGCACAGAGAAAAGTTGAAACAGTCTTTTTACCTCAAAGTTATCCAGTGGCAAGCTGGCATATTTCCTGCAGGCTATGTTTAATATTTCACAGAAGAGTGGAAAGATGCAAAGCTCTTCTGGCTAGGTGTTTAAAGTGGCGAGGTATCTGTGTTCCTGTGCTCTGCAAGATGCAAATTCACTCAAACAATGGCAGGAGCCTGGTGTTAGCAATTCAGATGGTAAAATGCTCCCTACTTGTAAAAGTCAGTTGGTAAAATGCTTCCTTCTTGTAAAATTATGCGGCTTCCCTTCCATACCAGAAGAGGTGCTGCTGCTGTTAAGCAAACTCCTTGGCTTTCAGCTCCATCTCCAGTAGATTCCTTTTCAGGTCCAAGTTGGAAAGCATATTTTGCTCGTATGTATCCTATGAAGCCATTATTGTCTTTGGCTCAGACTGACATTAGCAGACTTGTGTTTCTACTGAGCCATTAAAGAGCAGTAAAGCTAGATGTAGAACAAGACTGTTGCTGAATCAACTCCACCTGAGAAAGCTCCCTTGTAAAAGTGTGCCTAGATGTACATAAGTAACTGTTGGGGCATTTGTTCACAGATGCACTTGCTTTCTCAGATTTCTGTGATAATGCAGTTAAACAAAGCAAATGGTCTCATCATGCTTTTATTTTTCAGCTGCAGATAGAAAATGGTTTTCAGAGTTTATCGCTGAGAAACCCTCCTCAAGGTGAGTGACAGACTGATTTTCTTTTAAATAAATAAAGGACTGAATTGCATGAAAATAAAACCCAGAAGAGAACATCATGCACTTAGTTGTTTGTAACAGCCTCTCAAGAACTTAGAGATGAAAGATCTTCACCTAACTACTGATCTGTTTCATCTGAGCAGCAGGTCCTCCCCTATATTCCTGTTCCTGGTTATTTACATTTTGTCTGGGTACTGCAGGTCTTGCAAGAACCCTGGGTTCATTTTCCAGCTGTGCTCCTGACTCACTAAGACACTTTGGGCAAGCCACTTTAAGCATAAACCGTCAGGTGCCTTTTATGTGGGCACCCAAAATTATCAGGAACTGATCATAAGGTTTGATGCGCTTTTGGAATCCATACTTCTCCTACAGCAATGGTACCATATATGAATATGAATGGACCATGTACATGCTGAGCATCCACATCTCTTCTGACATCATTGCAAAATGCATGTGGTGAGCATGACTGATAATCAGGTCCTAGAAATGTCATCAGAGTGCACAGCCATAAAAGAACAAACCTACCCCAAGTCAGTGAAGGACTTTGGGAAATGTAGCCCTGAGGCATCCTGGATCTCAGTTGAGCTATTGGTAGAGTGTGGGGATAGGTACTTACTTGTCACTGAAAAGGATCATAAGCTACATATATGAAAAGCACCTCTAAGGCAGCAGTTTTCAACTTGTGGTCTGCAGGCCCCTGGGGGTCTGCAGACTATGTCTAAGGGCTCTATGAAAGATGACTGTGATCAATCAAAAGTATGTGAATGCCTACATTTACAATTCAAAAGGGTCCTCACCTACATTTGACATTTTTTAGGGGTCTGCAAATGAAAAAAAGGTTGAAAACCACTTAAAGAAATAGTCATATACTAGGATAATAGTAACTGTCATACAATTCTCCATCCTGCCACACACCTCCATCCTGCCACACACCTCCATCCCGATTATCTAACAGGAACCTGCTTGGGTAATTGGTGGTGCACCAACAGCAGCTTCGGTGGCCTGTGGCCAGACTGGGTAAAGCCTGAATCCAGACTTCTCAATCTGCAGACCGTTCAACCACATGTTGCTCAACAGGGTTGGCTGTCTAAAGTCTTCAGGGCAGAAGCACTGGCTCTTAGGAGCTCTGCATAACCAAAGATTTTTTTGCAGCTCAAAGAAGGGTTTGGAGAGCCAGGGCCACTAAATTACTGTTACTGGGCAAGTGTTTTCACCCTGCTTCATGCTTCATTTTAATCACCCCAGCGTGGTGTAGCTGTATGATCTTGCACATATAAAGAAACCTGAGGAGGTGCTGGCATGAGAGACACTAGGAAGTGTACAGCCTTAGCAATCGGGAGCCTTCCTGAGTCTGTCAGCATTTCTATGTGCCCTATGCTAGGGAGCAGGGCAGCCTACCTAGGGAGTCATTCTGTTGTACATAGACTTTGATGCAAGGCTCCATAGCCTGGTGTAATATCTGTGAGCCTTTTCTGCCTCTTCTGGAGCTCAGATGTAATCCCAGAGATGCAGCTAAGGCTAAATAGGTAAAGACTGGGTGCACCTACATGTGCGATTTACTGAGGAATAGACCAATTAGCTCCGTAGTAAAGCATCACCATTACTTACACATGCTCCTGTATTAGGGTGCAGTAAACTAATGAACTCTGCTGTAGGATAGTACTGTCCGGGACAAGTGCTATCCTACAGCGGAGTAGTTACATACACCAAAACCCACATGTAGACAGTGACTGGGGTTGGTAGGGCATGAGGCTGCTACAGTGTGGGGGCTGCCTAGTGGCTAGCCCCACATTTTAGCACCCACATGCCCCAGCCAGCCCCTCTGCAGTACATTGAGCCAGGGCAGAGCAGCCCTGGGCTGGCAGGCTGACCCCTCAGGTCCCCTGTCAGCTGGGGCTGCCTCTCTCCAGCTCGATATGCTGCAGTCCTGAAGCTTATTGCCAGTTGCTAACGGCACATGTAGATATACCCACTGAGGATACAGATAATGTAATACATGCTTGGGATCACTTGAGGGAGCCAGAGTCAGGAGAGGAGAACAACGTATGGTAGTAGAGGGCAAAATATGGCCCAGGGCCAGATCTGGTCCACAAAGTGATATTGCACCGCTCAGTAAAGGCATGGGGGTAGTCCAAGACATGGTTTATGCCCAGGCATGCAGCAGGGCTGGGCAATGTGACTGCTGGACTCCATTTCCTGGCAGCCCCAGCAGTGGCTTCTTCCAGCTGCCACCAGGCACAGCCTTGCTGTCTGGGTACCCCAGACCGTCCACCCCACACCTGCTTCCAGGGGCAAGATCTGTGCGGGCAGGGCACTCCACCAGGTGGACATAATCAGAGCGCCCTGCCTGTGCAGCTCCCAACTGCTCTCCATGGAGCCCCTGGGATCTTGGAGTGGTGGCAGCGTGGAGCTGTGCTGGGGCAGAGACATGATCTGTTCCCTGCCTGCAGAAACCACGTGTCGCAGAGGGGTGCAGGCAGTGGATCATGGCTCTGTCCCAGGCCTTGGCCCTGTGCTGTTACTGCCCCATGACCCCACCCCATGATCTTGGCCTCACCCACCCCTCCTGCTCCTGAACACCACTCCCCGCCCGCCCATGACCCCCATCACACGTAAGGTGTTTTGGCGAGTTGTTGTGGGAGAGTTGGGGCTAGCGCTGACCTGGTCCATGACACCTCAGCAAAGTTCCCTATTTGGCCCCTGGGCCCAAATAATTGCCCACCCCGATCTATGGTCATGCTGATAAGTAGTATGGACAAGGAATCCAAGTTAAGCCAGGCTCCCTTCATTTAAGATTTGATCTGCATGACCAGGGTCTGCAAGTGTTTAAAGCTCTGCTGATCTGAATTCAATCTGATTCAGAAGTTGGAGATGCTACTCAGTGCTTCCCAAACTCTTCCTCAGCATGACCCCATTTAAGGCCATATTTCCTCAGCATGACCCCTTACTCCTAGCCCAGAGCCCCTCCACCCCCGTTACCCCATCCGCTGATGTTGTGACTCCATTTGGGGTTGCGACCCACAGTTTGGGAACCACTGCACTACCTCATAGCTGGTGGGTCAGTGGCAACAAGTCCGCTGAAGAACCTCTGAGCAATGCTATCAGGGGCAAGAGCCTGCAGCATGATCAACCATAACAGTGGGGGCTGGGGTTGTGCAGGTACCAAAGTGCACAGTTGACAGCCCAGGGGTCACAAGCCCAGGGGCATAGCAGAAACACTTCAGGTGTGGCCCCGTGAGATTTCAATGAATCTTCAAATTCTGCTAAATACCTTGTCACACGGACATGAAAAAGGAAAGGATCATGATGGCAAGTTCAAAGGGCAGACAGACTTGGCTAGCAGTGTTACACCCTCACCATCTTCCTTTTACCAATTGTGGCACAGGCTCAGGTGCAGGGCAAAGTGAGATTATATGGTTCTACAGTGGTAGGGATGTTTATGGGAAAAGGGTGGGGGGCAGGTATGAAATCTTGCAACAGGCATGTAATTTAGACAGTCTGGTTTGCCTTGTTCCACAGAAATGGACAGCATGCAGGCTGGAAGGGCAGACTACTACCTCTTTCGGGATCAGATGAACATCTGCCATCATTCCACTTCACATGATTACCCTGATGAACCTGACCTACTGGAGTGGTTTATGAGTCCTTCGTTGCTGCCCCTCATTGCTGGAGGTAGGTTCAGAGGCAGGACCATACCAAGATATGTTTGTATTTCATATAACATCTGTCTCTCACAAACCCCTTGCAATTTTATCCATGTTGCAATGTCCCTGAATAATTGCATAAACCAGATTCAAGGGAAGAGGAAACCTTTCCTGAGGAAAGCAGCTTGGCTTGCTTTAGAGTTGCCTTCCTTCCTGGGCATTGGGAGCTGTAGGGAATCCTGTGCAAGTCCCAGAGGAGTACCGGACAGAAATTGCACCCAGTCATGCAGGGTGGACCAGGCGAGAAGAGCCAATAACTACGTCTGTTGGTGTTTTATTCTTTGTAGTAGTTATGATTCTCAGCATGCTCTCTGCTGGGTATGTGGGAAGTGAACCCCCATTGGGGGTTGCCTACCCATGATTTTTCATTGGGAATCCCATCTTGGATGTCTTTTGGCAAAGCCCCTGTTACAGCTGGCTTTCTAGAGGGATGGCCAGATCCTGACAGCTGTCTTCACAATGGGAGAAGTACATTAAATCTCAAGGGCCCTCACTGACTGTAGATCAGAATCAACTCTTATACTGTCCAAGCCAAAACCAGTCCATGATGGTCCTAATTTTGTGTCTCCCTTATAGGGGTTAGGTACCACCCCCCATCACTAAGGTGTCTGAGAACTTTCCTTAAGTCTCTCTCTTCTCTGGTTTGGAGTTCTAGAAAGCTGGGAAAGGGTTGGGAACTCTTATTGGGACAGGATGGGAAGGACAGAGAGCGGCTGAGTGATGATACTGTGGATGCTACTGTGATGACAATGATCATCTCTGCAGCATTTTTTAAGTGTCAGAGGGCAAAACCACCAGAGATTGCAATTATAAAATAAAAGTTAGCCTGCTGCAGTGCCTCACTTGATCCTGGTCATTAACCCTGTTGTTCCTGTCTTTTTTTTCTCCTAACCTCACCAGAGGAAGGTCCATATTATCAACCAAACCAAAGTAATTACCCCCAAGAGGAGAACAGAGTGCCAAATGGACCAGTGGAGAATTATACCCCAGTTATCCACTGGGCAGTCGAACCTGTGGCAGAATTCCATCCAGTGCAGAATGGTTATACCCCTTCTGCTGCTTCATTTCTCCAGCAGGACCTTTCACACAGTGCTGCCATACCTGTCACAGGTCACCTTAATAACACAGGTTGGTATATATCCCACTATCAGAGAGCGGGCTAGGACTATATACAGGCATGCACTCAAAACTCCGGGTAACATAGAAACAAGCAATTACCATCTTAAACAGTGGTTCTCAACCTTTTTAGACTCAAGGTACCACTTAGAAAAGTGTCAGCTCTTAGTTCTCACTTGCTTAGATTACAGAAAAATAATAGAAATGTTCTTCTGCTGCAGACCACAGCACAGCAGGATGGTTTTTGAATTCCTGTGAGTCATGTATAGGTGTTTACACACCTAACTGTGCAAATACTGCAAGATGTCTCTCACCTTTAAAAGGATCACAGGGCATCCTGGTTGAGAATCACTATCTTAAATTAAAACATACAGAAAAAACCCAGGAAACTTCATACCTGCTCAGACCCAGGTGTGAAGTTCAGAGTTGCAGCTGAAAGTATTGCTGGCACAGGAGCAGCTCTCTTCCAATGTGCTCTTTATACTGATTTAATTGAATGTTCCTTCAGGTAGGAACCACCAGCTGTTGTAAAAGCAACACCTGGTGGCTCATCTTCCTGCAGGCTACAATTGACTTGGCCTGTTGAGGGGAGAACAGGATCTTTTGACTTCATGTAATGGGTAGGTAAGAGGGACCAGTTCCCACTACATGCAAGATGCAAATTTTTGTAATTTTGAGTCTTTACCAGTATCCAGGTAGTGTTCTGCAACCAAACCCCTGTTTTACTTCTAGGACTTGTCAAAAATCTTCCATCAAAACAAACCTTGCTGCAAACTGGCTTTTTGATGGGGGGAAAAAGAGAATATTACACAAACAACACCTGCTTTCTGAGAGAGAACTTTACTGAGTTTGTTTGAAAAATTCCCCCAATTCTTCACTTTAAGATAACTATTTTTAATGAAAATTTATTTTTTGTCCAACTTTGCCATGCGGAAAAACTCTCATTTCCAACCAACTGCAGTGTCTATAATTGTATAGGGTTGTAGAGCTGGAGCCAAAAAAGTACTTACAAGCCCATTTGGTACTTACAAGCTTGGTCCAGCGATTACAAGCCCATTGATTTCAAAAGGAAATTAGATATCCAGCTACCCTTTGGCTCTGATCCACAATGCTTTGAGATAAGCAAGGCTTGTCAGATTATTTAGCCCCTTCTTCTGGAAGTACAAGGTTATGTTCCCCCCAAGAAAAATATGCACGGGATACTAAAATTCTGCTGCTGTGGGGTCAGATTTAAGAGCTCATCTCCTTAGACCTTGGCCACAACTAAATCTCCACCCACACAGCATTCTCTTTTAATGAGTGTAATGCTCATTGTTGATACAGCATCAGCATATGGTGAGGGACAAACTCTGCCCCAAAGAGCTTCTCATCCAGGTTGAGGGAAGAGTGGTTATGCAGTTAACAGGATAACTCAGCAGTAATGTGTGGCATGTCCTGATAGCACTATCATTGTGGCTGAGCCACGTTGTTTTCTTCTCTTTATAATCTGGTTTTGAGTGAAGGTTTAGGGCTCAAAGGCCTGTTTGTAGTTTCAGGGGAAGATGACTAGCTTGGACTCTGACCCAGCACCTACTAAAGCTGGTGGGAAAGGGTCCCCCTGTCCTCAGTGGGAAACTATGCCTAGTTGAGAGTATGAGCACAACACAAAGGCAGAGCGTGGGGTAGGGGAGTAGGTAGACCTTAATGCCATTGTTGCAAAAACAATCCATCTTACAAACCAAT